TATATATACTTCAAGTTGCAATTAGGTAATAAGGATTTAAAAAATGTAATAGTTGGACTGAAATTTTACAATCTTATTTACTAAATAAATAATAGAAAAATCAATGTAGAATATAATAATACAATTTAACTTTTGTCAAACAATATAGATAACAAAAACTAGAGAGAATAATGAATTTGATTCGCAGTTGACTGTTAATAATCGACAGCTTGAGTTGATAATAAATATATAGCCAATATGTTAAATTATTTCTTATAAACGTGTTTTAGCACAAAGGTTAACTACCCGATGTAGTTAGTTGACCAACCCACAAAGGTATAGTTTACATAATATTATTATGTTGTAAGTTTTAACCCATTCAACAATATTTCTGTCCATATAGTTGAGCTTTGAAGAAATTGCACTAATCATAAGCTATCACAACAACCACACAAATAGTTAGTTTGAAAAGTATATGTGCATAAAAAAAGTTTTTTAAAAAATAAATAAATTTTTTTATTTTCAAAATTTGAATAATAGTTGACGACATTATTAGTTGTATAAAAAATATATTACATGAAATCATGGTATATTTTATATTATTTTACATTTAACACTTGTTTATTGAATCATAATAATCATTTTTATAATGTAAGATTGCATATTGAATCTATCCTCATTGAAAAAAAATAACTTCCAATTACGACTGATAATAATTTATTTGTTTTTCAATTAAAATTTATAGAGAACAAATATTATTATTATTATTATCTTTTTACAAAGATGTAAGAATGTTTTCATGTATGCAACATGAGTACCTAGTCACATTGGTCTGTGAAAATTTATATATATTTATATATATATATATATATAATTGCTAGCATCTATATCTATATATATATATATATATATAAAGGTGTGATTATTTTTTAAATAGTAACTATTTCCCTAAAAAAAATCTATTTACTATTTCGGGAATTTAATTTAACAATTTATGGAATATATCAAATGCTCACTTACAGAAATTGCGACTCATTATTTAAGAAAGTATTTAAACCGTATTTTAAGATACCTTAATTATTCAAATCATGTAAGTTAATTAGTATATGGTATAAAGTGAACAAATTTATTTTTGGTATTGATGGTTATTTATATAAGAAATAAATTAATCAATATATGGTATAAAGTGAGCAAATTTATTCAGGTTATTTGATAACTGTTTTTTTGTAGGAATTTTGTTGAAAAATTAATCAATACACGGTGTACTTTTTCTGCAATGAGCAGACCAATATATTGGTTTTTTTTGCGTGAATTTCAATTTTTCGTATGAATTTAACATAATAAAATTACCGTAACTCCGACAAAATAATATGAAAGGATATTTTGATATAATGTGTCGTAGCGATGTTTCTTTTATAGAAAAAGCTCTTGTCAATATTTTATTTTTTTATAAGTAGTGGGTCTCGATTTAATTCATTTTTTGTTACGACGTTTCAAATAATATTTGTGTGAAATGCATTGTTCATCTTTTTTAGCATGATAAGGAGTGTCGATTTTGTTGGCATAAAAAATCTTATGACTTATTGTTTTTACTCAGCTACTTAAATATTTTGATTTGGATATTTTATACAAAAATAAATTTATATTAATTAATGAAACAATATAAATTCTATATTTAAACGTACTATTCACATAGCTTTTTAAATATATAATAAATTTTGCCAAAATAATTATTTTATGGAATCACGTTATAGGCAAATCGAATTTCTGAATAAAAATTTTAAAATGACACATATTTTGTAACAAATATAATGTAATTTATTATCAATTATGTGCAACGCGCGGGTTGTGTACTTATTTTAAATAAACATTTTTATGTAATTTTGCACCATTTAAATTTTCTATAATATTTTTAATACATTAATATAGGTACATTGTATTATATACTGATTTCATGTTTTAATTGATAATATTATTTAATAAGAATT